CTCGGCCGATATTGGCAGGTGACAGGTCACCAGGCCAGTGTGACTCCTGTTCTGATCTGTGGATGATGTCATAGGGTTAGGTTATTGGGAACTGGAGTCTGGTGGGCGTCGGGTCACTGGGCACCGGCCCTGAAGGCTGTGTCTGCTCTCCAGCCCCTTCCTCGTGGCTCTCTGCTTCCTGACTTCCATGCAGTGAGCAGCTTTCCTCCACCAGGCCTCTCTGCATAACATATCGCCACAAACCAGACCCAGGTGCCCATCACTAGCATGTATCAACTTACTTCTCTTCTCCCTCCGTGTTTACCATGTCACCCAGGCTGGCCTCCAGCTGGAAATCCTCCTGCCACAGCTACCCAGGTGCTGGCAGTAATGCTGTGTCCTACCACACCTGGCATGGGTTTTTTCCACAGTGCTGCAGAGCTAATGCCAGCTATAGCACTGATGGCCTAAATTGTGCTCATTGCCGTGTCATCTGGGTGTGACAACCAGAAATGAGTCCAGTCCAGTTACACGACATGGGGTGTGGATTAACTCCTACACGAACCCCAGAGATGCAGCTAAACATGAAGATGAAATCACACACACACACACACACTCCAGGGAAGACCAAGAGGAGTTCTTAACAGCAAATTTATTTCAGCCAAAGCTAGCTTTTCACTGAAGCAGCAGTGAGCAAAAGAAACTGGCAAAGGAGGCTGAAGACAGGCAAGTGGACATGAAGTGGGGAATCCCAGCCCTGGGTCCTGGTTCTGATCAATATGGTTCAGTGGTGATGCTAAGGATAAGGACATCCTGGTGTTTTCCAGAAGCAGGAGGGCAATTCCAATGGGAACCAATGGAACCAGTGGGGAGACATTTACCCTGGCCCCTCAGATCCAAGTCGGCAATGGTGTCTGCAACTGCAGCTGTAATGAGATGTGGATGAGGACCCCGGCTGCCCGGGAGAGCTGGGAAAGTCCTGGTTGGGGTCACTGCTGAGGCCCATCACTGCTGCACCAGAAGTACCCTCGACCATGGTAAGCCGCTACCATGGAAGGACAGGAATGTTTGGCAAACGCACCCCAACATTGTGCCAGCCTGGGTCGGAAGATCCAGGCTGGGTTTGACCTGGCTGGAAGAAGGCAGAAGGATCCTTTGGACACACAAGCTGGAGGCTGCCTGGACCACAGAGCAAGACCCTATCTCATCGTGAAAATCAAGGTTGAGGGTAAACCTTTAGTGCAGACTCCAACCTCAGCTAATGCTATGGTCTGAATGACCCCTAGTTTGTCATGTGCACTGGTTGAAGGCTAACCAATAAACATTATTTAGCTTTTCAGAGCTAAGGACTGAACTCAGGGCCTAGCACTTGCCAGGTAAGTGCTTTTCTACTGAGCTAAGTCCCCAGCACCGATTTAGGTAAGGAGAAAAGTTCAGTTTTACTTGTTTTGTAAAGTTATTTGAATTAAGTCATTGATAAAGTTCAAAACATAATGTCAGCACAACCCTCTGTGCTCGGGCCATATGTGTTTGAACACATTTGCTTAGATAAGTAGATTCTATTTAAGTATGTATGTATGAGCGTGTACATGTGTGTACTTGTGTGTCCATGTGTGTACTTGTATATTGTGTGTATTTGTGTATGTGTGTGCATGTGTATACTTGTATATGTATGTGTGCATGTGTATACTTGTATATGTATGTGTGCATACATTGTATATGAATGTGTGCATGTGTGGGCATGCTGGTGCTAGACTGTGGTCCTTTGTGCTCTTGCTCAGTTTGTCTTTTTCTCTCACACCTGGTGCTTACCACTTGAGCCATGGCTCCAATTCTGACTTTTGACTGGTTAACTGGAAATAAGAGTCTCACAGATTTGTCTGCCTGGGCTGGCTTCAAAATGCCAACCTCAGGTCTCAGCCTCCTGAGTAACTAGAACGACAGGTGTGAGCCACCATCTCCCAACTTCTACTTAACTTTCCATGTTAAAATCTGAGCAGGGGGCTGCGAGTGTGGCTCAGTGGTAGAGTGCTACTGAGGAGGCTGAGATCTAAGGATCATGGTTCAAAGCCAGCCTAGGCAGGAAAAGCCCATGAGACTATTTCCAATTAACCACTAGAAAACTGGAAGTGGCACTGTGGCTCAACTGGTAGAGCACTGGCCTTCAGCTGAAGAGCTCAGAAACAGCACCCAGGCCCAGAGTTCAAGTCCCACAACTGACTCTACCCGCTTCCAAAAAAAAAAAATCTGAGTAGCATATTGGATTTTCCTGGGCATATTTTTGAGGTCCCAAGCAGTTCATGGAAGATCACAAGTCCCTCAGGGGAAGAGAGGGGAAAAAAAACCCAGTAACACCTCTGCAAAGCAAAAGAGCTAAAAGTTCAATCTATATACAGTGAACTCTGTGGGTCGTTGGGAGGGGTTTGGCTGGAGAGGAGGATGAAGGGAGGTTGCATTCAATTTCAGCCCCTGAAATCAGTGATTGGCAACTATGGAAACAAAACAAGGAGCCCTGTTGGGGTTGCTAGGGGAGAGGGAGGTGCTCGAGGTTGGTTGGAGCTCAAGGTAAATGCATGGAGATGCCACAGGAAATGCCCCCCCCCCCCCCAAGTAACTAACATAGGCTAAGAAAAGAAAGTATATTCAACAGTGATTCTAAGGAAGGGATATGTATGAATGATTTCCCTTTTTTTTTTTTTTGGTCGGTCGTGGGGCCTGAACTCTGGGCCTGGGCGCTGTCCCTCAGCTCTTCAGCTCAAGGCTAGCGCTCAACCACTTGAGCCACAGCATCACTTCCGGTTTTCTGGGGATAAATTGGAGAAGAGTCTCATGGACTTTCTTGCCCTAGCTGCTTTGAATCATGATCCTCAGATCTCAGCCTCCTCAGTAGCTAGGACTATAGGAGTGAGCCACCTGCACTCTGCTGAACACTTTACTTTTAAACACCAAATTGTTGCACTAAACATACTAAGATTATTCTGATTCTACTCAAATCCCAGAAATTATATGCAAATAAGTGTGTGTGTGTATGTGTGTGCACATGTGTTGCAAGCAGGTAAATATGCAGAATTTGCTTTCAAATACTTTTTGGCTTAGTGATCATCATATACATGCTTTTCCTCACATTTGACCAAAACTTGCAGGTCAATAACCCCATTTCATTACAAGCAATAAAATACTTTAAATGTAATGTGTTTAGATTAATAGAATCATTTTTTAATTAAATGTAATTTGATACTTAAGACCCTTGAAGTAAAACTATATAAAAATAGAGTAAGAGGGCTGGGAAGGTGGCTCAGTGGTAGAGTGCTTGCCTTGCATTCATGAGGCCCTGAGTGCGATACCTTAGCACTATATAAGTAGAAAAAGTGGGAAGTGGTGCTGTGGCTCAAGTGGTAGAGTGCTTGCCTTGAGCTGAGGAGCTGAGGGACAGCACCCAGGCCCAGAGTTCAGACCCCATGACCAATAAAAAAACAAACAAACAAAAACAGTAAAAATTAAAACTAATTTATTCTTAAATTTCTGTATTTTTTAACAAGTATGGTAAAAACAGTATGAACTTGCATTCAATTTCAGCTATTTTAAGCACCATTTGCAAGATTATTAATTGAGTGAAACCCCTATTCTTTTAGGAGATATCTTTTTTAAAGGAATAATTAAAATGTATTTGTACCTTAGCAGAATCAATGACTTGTTCATGTCATCAGAAAAGAGAATGTAGTCTCAGAAACTGCCTTGCAGAAGCTGTGTAGAGTGATGCATACTTGTAATCCCAGCTTCTTGGGAGGCAGGGACAGGAGGTTTATGAGTTGGAGGTAAAGGCAAAGTTAGCAAGACACCATCTCAAAAACAAAACCAAAAGACTTGGGGGCTGTTGTCTGTGCAAGGTCCTGGGTTCAACTCCCAATACTGCAAACCAAAGAGAAACTATACCTTTTTCTCTTACCCTCTTTTAATCAAGAGAAATAGGTCTCTCTTTAGAAAAAGATGACAAAATTCTTTGCTTTCAAAATATAGCACCAGTGGCTCACGCCTGTCATCCTAGCTACTCAGGAGGCTAAGATCTGAGGAGGAAGGATCGAAATCAGCCTGGGCAGGAAAGTCTGTGAGATTATCTCCAATGAATCTCCAAAAGAAAAAAAAAAAAAAGAAGAAGAGGAAGCTGTAGCTCAAGGGGTACAGTGCTGGCCTTGAGCAAAAAAAGCTAAAGGACAGGGCCCAGAGTCTGAGTTCAAGCCCCAGTCCTGGCACAATAATAATAACAACAACAATAACAATAATAGTAACACCTCTTGAACAGGATGTATAGCATAAAACAATGCTGAGGTGCCTTTTAATACATGGTCCTAGTTTATAAGTTCCTCTCCCTAGGCCTACATGAAATGTTCCTATGTTGAGTAGGAAAACTCTGACACGGTAAAATACGCTTCCTGCTTCTAGGCTTATTTCACGAAGCATCCCAGGTTTACAGTCGCTGCAGCTTCTGGTTTTTTAGGAAAGCAGTCCTTCTTCATAGTTGTGTTTCCCAAGCTGGCAATTTCTTCAGCAATTCTGAAAAACACACACACACACACACACACACACACACAGAAAGCCGCAGCTGGGTGCCGGTGGCTCACGCCTGTCATCCTGGCTCCTGGGGAGGAGGCTGAGCTCTGAGCCTGGTGGTTCGAAGCCAGCTCGGACAGCCAACACCGTGACACTCATCTCCATCGGAGCCCCCCAAAAGCCAGCAGAAGTGGGGCTGTGGCTCGAGGGGTAGAGCTCTGGCCGGAAGCAAAAACAGACAAGACAGCTGACAGGCAGACAGACAGACAGACAGACAAGCGCAAGGGCAGCGCCCAGGCCCTGAGTTCAAACCCCAGGACTGGCACCAAAAACAAGTCACGTGCCGAGCAAGGATGCGGCGCCCCACGTGTCCACATCCAGATCTTTCCCGGGAGACATTGTCCCGGGGGCGAACCGGCCGTGTGCGGGGCGGAGCCGGGCCCGGAGCGCGGCGGGGGTCCCCCGGCTCTCCACTAACCGTGGGCGCAGTCGGCGTCGTTGCCGTGGATCCAGAGGCAGATCTGCGCGTACTTGAGCGGCGTGATGCGCACGGCCACGTTGTAGCTTCCCGGCGCCCCGGGCCCCGGCGCCCCGGCCCCGGCCTCCCGCTGGTGGCCCGCGTACACCGCCACCACCTTGCGCGTCCAGGCGCGCGTGGCCGGGTCGCGGAGCCGCAGGTAGACGCCCGAGCCGCCCGCGCCCGCGCGCGCGTCGCAGCGCTGGAACAGCAGATCCGGAGACTCGCGCGCCACGCGGCAGAAGCGGTACACCACGCGCTCCGGCCGGTCGTCGTCGAACCCCGAGAAGTGGATCCGGCGGCCCGGCGTGTCCTCCGTGTCCGGGCTCACTCCCAGCGCCATGGGCCGCTGGCCGTGCGCGCGCTTCAGCTCCAGCACCGCGTAGTCGTAGTCCAGGCCGGGCTCGTGGCCCTCGCCCGTGGCCCAGCCCCGCGGCACGTGCGTGTTCTTCACGCGGATCCATCGGAAGGCGGCTCGCGCCCCCGCGCGCCTGCGCCGCCGGCGGCCCGCCCCGGCCTCCGCGCGCCTGCGCACCCCGGCTTCGCGCCCCGTCGCCGCCGTCGCCCCGGCCCGCCCGGCGCGCATGCGCGCCCCGCCCCGCCGCCCCGGCCCCGCCCTCAGCAGCCCCACGCGCAGCCCCCGGCCGCCCCGCACGAAGCCGCGGCCGTCGTGCACGCAGTGCGCGGCGGTGAGCACGTGGCGCGGGGACACGAGCACACCGCTGCAGCCCGTGGACAGCCGCACGGCCGCGCTGAACGGGAAGCCGCCCGCGAAGCGCGGGTCGGCGATGCTGAAGCGGCCGTCGGCGCCGAACACCTGGCGCTTGGGCCGGGCGGCGCCCGCGGGCCGGGGTCGGGGCCCGGGCGGCAGCGGGCCTCGGATCCCCACCCGGGTCAGCGCGCGCGTGCCGTTCTCCCACGCCGTCTCGAAGGACAGGGCCTCCGCCGCGCCCACGGCGTCCCGCGCGGGGCCGGCGAGGACCACGAGCCGCGGGATCCTCTGCGGGCGCCAGGCGAAGTCCGTGGCCGCCGCCGCCGCCGCCTCCGGGCCCGCGCCCAGCGCGGAGAGCAGCAGCCAGAGCAGCACGCGCCGCATGGCGGCCGCCGCGCCCACCTGCAAAGCGGGAGGGGAAGGAGGGGAGGCCTCAGCCCCGGGCCCGGGGCGCACCGCACCCCCTCCCATCGTCCTCTGCGCCCTCCGACCCCAAAACCCCCACCTGGGCTTCTACCCCGCTTTCCCTCCGCCCACCCTCCTGCACCCCTGCCTCGATCTCCTCGTGTGTTCACGCACGGCGTGTCCCCCTCCCTGTGTGGCCCACGCCGCACTCTTCCTCCCTAGATCTCCCACGGACGCCTCTCCACGCGGGCAGCGTCCCGCAGGGTCTCTCCGCACTTCCTCGGGCCCACGGGCACCAATGACTCCCGCAGCCCAGCTCCGTGGCTCACGCCTGTAATCCAAGCTACTTCAGAGGCCGAGATCTGAGGACGGGAGTTCGAAGCCAACCAAGGCTTAGGGTAAGTCCATGACCTTCTCTCATCTCTGATCAACCACCTAAAAGCCAGAAGTGGAGCTGTGGCACAAGTGGTAGGGGACCAGCGTTGAGTGAAAAGGCCCAGAGTCCTGGGTCTGGGCCCTGAATAGCCAAGCCCCAGCTCTGCCCCGTGCATTGGAAAAGAGTGGTGGCGGAGAGCCCAGACCCACCAGACCTTAGACAGAGGGGCTCAGACAACTGTGCTCAGCCAGAAAGCAGCCAGAGGAGGGCTGGGGAGCTTGTTAGGAATGCTGTTCATTCACACCTAGTGCTAGATGCTGCCCTGCCTGAGCTTCAGTAGGCCTTCTAGATGCTTCCGACCCTCAGCAATGTTTGGAAAACACTGAGGCAGCCCCGCACGGGGTGTGTAGCTTGCTGGACTCCTGCAGCGGCCCCGGCCCCCAAGATTTGCTTAGCCGGGCTACAGGTGCCATGGGCTCCTTCCGCGTGTGCAAAACCCACTGGTACTCGTTCTGCTCCTTCACTGCGGGGCCAGGGCTGCGGCTCAGCAGTTGATGATTTAAAAAAATAAGAATAACGTGTGTACTTACAGAAGTGGTTTAATACATGTTAATCTCACGTCCCCTAGGCTCAGACACCATGCCTGTAGCCTCCACCAGCTAGCAATGGCCTTGCTTGCCAGTCCCGTGGCGAGCTGACCTGCAATCACCATGGGACCTGGGCCCAAATCTACTGTTGGGCCCCAGAAGGGCAGCGCCCTGCAGTGCACCTGTGAGCCCAGCGGTGTCCTGGTAGCCAAGATCTGGAACTGGAAATGAGGCCAACAGCATCTAAAAGATAACTTCACTTCAGAAAAACCTAAATTTGCCTTTGGGAACTCATCCGCCTGGATGCTATGATCACAGCCTGGTTGTCCATGGCTGTGGGTGCCAGGGAGTACAGGCCCCCAGTGCCCATGGAAAGCTCCATTGGTTCTCTTCCTCTCACACCCTGCTTTGCCCAGTCCTGTGATAACTGTGACACTGGCAGCCACTTTCCAGGGGACTTGGATTTCAGACAGTAGTGAGTTTCGCTGCTGCAAGTCAGCGCTCACCTGCTGTGTGTATGTGTGTGTGTGTGTGTGTGTGTGTGTGTGTTTCTGGGCTTGAACTTGGGGCCCAGGTGCGCTCCCTGGGCTTCTTTTGTTCACAGCTAGCACTCCACTGCTTGAGCCACAGCTCCACTTCTGCCTTCTTTGCTGGTTAATTGGATGAGAGTATCATAGACTTTCCTGTCCAGTCTAAGCTGGCTTTCAACTGCCATCCTCAGAGCTCAGCCTCCCAAGTAGCTAGGATGACAGGCATGAGCCACCTGTGCCTGCTCTGTGTTCACAAATTTGACCTTGGGTTGGAGGCAGGAGGTGTATTGGGAGCAGGGGTAAAGTGGACCTGGAGATGTGTTCTGGTTGGTGCGCTGTACAGTCCCCACACATGCCCAGTCCATTAGAAGAAAGATGGCACAGAACTAGGAGAGGGTTACTGCTGTCCCCTGGCTCCGGTGTGTTCTTGGTGCTGGGCCTGCTGGTGCCTAGGGTTTGAGTGTCTATACCAGTGCAATGGCTACCACGTGCGGGCCAAGAAATAGGGAGCCAGAAACTACACTGCAGCCTCTGCACTCCTGATAGGTGACCATGGACAACTCATTCCCTCCCTGGTTCCCTTCTTCCATCCACAAAGTGGAGAGGATGGAAACACCCACCCCATAATGTCAGAACTGAGACCCACGTCTGTGGCATAGCCACCCCGGAGGCTGAGATCTGAGGACCCCAGTTCAAAGCCAGTCCAGGTAGCAAAGTCCATGAGACTCTTACCTCCAGTGAACCACCAGAGACCTGAAGTGGAGCTGTGGCTCAAGTGGTAGCGCACCTGTCTTGAGACAAAGAGCTCAGGGACAGCACTCAGGCCCCTAGTTCAAGCCCTGGTACAGGCACAGAAAAGAGAGAGAGAAAAAAAAAGAATGAAGAGCAAGAATTAGGGGACGGTGGTCATGAAGAGACAGTGATCAGCACACCCTTGTCATCTACTAGCATCATGTCATGGATTTCTTATGTCTCCAAACATTTTCTCCATTTATAGAATATTCGTGTACCAGGGTGTATGTATGTATATACAGCATCGGAGCATAGTGAGCACTTGAAAAGTGAGTCATTGTTACACACTTGTGCAACACAAGGAGTCAGGCACCACCGTGCACACCTGTAGTCCTAACACTTGGGAAGTTGAGGCAGGAAGTTGGAGGTCACCCTGGGGTACTTCAAAATTCCAGACCAACCTGAACTCCACGGTGAAACACTGTCTTAAAAAGAACTAATATGAATTGGTAATCCCTCTGCATAACACCTTATTACTAACAAAATTCTATTTAAAAAAAAACCTAAAACTTAAGCAAGAATACTGAGTGTGGGGATGCATAGTTATGCTCCCAGATACTAGCAGACTAAGGCAAAAGCAATTGAAGCAACACACCAAGACCCTATTTTGTGCAAAAACAGAAACATGGAAGCAGGTGTTAGGCATTTCCATTCAGCACGGTGTGCAAATAATGTTCTTGGAAGCAATCCACTTCTCATCCCCAGAAAGTGTGGAGACTGAATCCGCGAGGCCTGGAAAAGACCCGCACCCTCTCCTAGAACTTCCAGCTGCAGACTTGAGCTCTAGCTGTGCTAGATGACAAATGCTGCTGTTTTAGATCACTAGCGTTTGGGAAACTTGTTACAGCATCTGTGGGAAACAAATGCCTTTATCTGGTGAGACTCTAGTTTCCAGAATGGCCTGCCATGGATGTTTGCAAGAGAAGAAAAGAGGTGGCCTGAAGTGGTCATTCTAAGTTTGCATAATAGGCCTAAAACAATGTGGGATGCTTTTTTTTGGGGGGGGGGTCGGTCATGGGGCTTGAACTCTGGGCCTGGGTGCTGACCTGAGCTCTTTTGTCAAGTCTATTGCCTACCACTTTGAACCACAGTGCCACTTCGGTTTTCTGGTGTTTAACTGGAGTCTCATGGACTTTCCTGCTTGTTCTGGCTTTGAACCACGATTCTCAGTAGGTAGAATTTTATACTTGAGCCACCAGCACCTGGCAAGATTAGACATGCGATTTTAAAGCTAAAACAGAGATTTTGTTTTATATCTGGTACCAGTACTGTACTGGGACTTGAACTTGGGATCTTAAGCTCTTGCTCAAGGCTGGTGCTCTGCCAGTTGAGCAACACCACAAGTCTGGCATTTTGCTGATTAATTTTGCAAGGGCTGGCTTTGAACCTTGATCCTGACTAATGGGTATTACAGCCATGAGTCACCAGCGCCCATTAGAGATGGTGACTGTGAAAACTTCAGCTGAGATGGTGAAGAATCACTAGGAAAAAAAAAAATAATATGAACAAGGTGGACAAATTTGTCTATTCAGCAAATTCATATTAAGTGTGAACTACGCTGTGCTTTGAAAAAAAAAATCTTAGCTGGTATGGTGAGATTCAGCTATAGCCCCTGCCACTTGAATTCTTCCCTATTCCAGAAGGGCAGCGGCTCCACCTCATCGGCAGAGTGGGACCTTGTGTGCCATCTGCATGGCTGCCACTAGATGACAGTGGGTGCCTGCGTGTGTCCAGTCAACATCAGGCCCTTGAATTTCTGGCCTGGCTTCAGCTGTGAAATAGCTTATGTGAAAGTACCAGAGACCGAGGGAGTCCAGCTGGCAGCGCATATCCTAAAATGATTGTCACATGTGGAATTTGTCACATGGAGAAAATCCACCTACCGGCCCCAGAGCCTGTGCTGATGGGCTGAGAGCTGATAAGGCTGACCAGGGCCAGACAATTTTCTGGCAGGTGGTTTTCCAAAAACAGTTATAGCGCCAGCACACTTCTACCATGACCTACAGCACAGCCACACAGCCTGCCAAGTGGGCTGCGATTCGTTTCCACACTGGGAAAAGAACCTGCCAAATATTTCCATATGTTTATCAAATACTTCAGAATCCATTCCTACAGGGAAAACTGCTCTGGTTGTCCATCCGGGAAAGTGCACTGACAGCGTGCCAGTTTCTGTTCAAATGATCACCGACCCCAGCACAATGTCCTTTCAGGACTGGAGACGGTCGTGTCTGCTGTAAGCAGCCCTTGAGGGACGGCGATGGTAACTCGACCCCATTGATTATTTTACAGTAACCCTCGAGCTCTAGTTCAAAGTGAAAAATGAAGCCTCCCTTTTGTCTCAGAGTTATTTTTCCAAGACATGCACATCTCCGTGTGTGCTGTGCGTAAATTGAATCCGGGTGAGTGGCACACGGGAATCCCTCCGCTCTTTTATCCACTTATTTGTGAGCCTTGTGGCACCTAGCTCTTCTCTATTTTTCAAGTTGGACTTTTGAAAGCAAAAGAGATCTGGAAGGAGATTCGTTCCTGCTGATTTTCAGGCTTTAAAGCATCTTATGGTGGCAGTGATTTAACCTCATCATATACCACTTTTTATCTAGAGGGAGCTTTTGCCATTATTACTATAAAATCAGGACCTGTGCATGTCTGGCTTGACCTTGCTTCTCACATTTCTGTCTGAGGTTTCTCACTAGCTAAGTTCGGTCGGCCCAGCAGCTCTGTTCTCCATTCTAAGCCTCACCCTGTCCTTAAAACGCAGCACATCTGTCAGATTCTCAAACA